CCACTCACATTAATGGAACTGTAGGAAGGAGACAAAAGAGCCATGACCAAGCTTGATCTTTACTAAAACAAAACTTCTAATTTTACTTAAATTCACCTGCCTAAATCTCCATAATGACTGAGCATTTTCACATGCAGTTTTTTTCTCTCTGGTTATGTGTTTTTTTCATCATTTATTTATTTTTGCCATGTATGTGATGTTTTGCTGGTAGCCGAAAGAAACGCATGCTACATCTGGGTATAAATGTGCATGTGACTGGGGCAATCAAAAGCAAGAACATCAGCATGACAGCCACACATAACATTTTCAAAAGGAGAGGTCAGTAAAAGCAGCCTCCATGTTTCTCTTAAACATGCATTCAAATACACTAACTAATTATAAAAATGTATCTTATTTGTGTATCACTCAGCTGTAGATCATCAAATCATCTCTGAATTGGTGCCGACACTGTCCTTTCTTGTGGAGGGTGGCTAGTTCTGTTCCCCATGGTTTCTGTGTGTGTCCAGAAGGAAGGACAGTGTCAGCATGAATTCAGAGATGATTTCAGAATCTACAGCTGACTGATACATAAATAGGATACATTTTGTTAATAGTTTAGGTACTTGAATGCCTTTTTAGGATTTAACTTCTGAGTTTAGTGTCACTTTAATGACAAGATTCCTTAACCTCCTCCCTTGAATGGCTGGACGAGAGTCTGCTAGGAGCGAGAGGGCATCTTAAGACGTCCTGCCCCTCCCATGTGCGGCGCTCAGCGCGCACACGAGCGGGAAAACTGTGAGCATGTAAACAGCCAGCGATGGCTGTTTACATACAAGCGATCAGACGCCCGATCGCTTGCAGGAGCTGCAGGTGTGCGCCCCCTCCCCCGTACCTCTGTCCCGCCGTCTCCTCGCCGCCGCTGCCGGTCCCGTGATCCGGTACGGCTGGGACCGACACGGCGACGCTCTAACAGCAGATCAAAGGGAGATCAGTACTCAACCATTGCACTCCAACATCGCTGCGAACGTTGGAGTGAGAGCAATAATTATACGGCCATCAATCACTGACAACACTAAACTGATGAGCGGTAAAAACTTTTAAAGCGTTGCCTATGGACAATTTTAGTTGCGCCGTTTTCTGCGATTTCCCAAGCACGCAGTTTTAAAGCTTGACATGTTTGGTGTCTATTTACCTGATGTGACCCCGTCTTTTATATTTTACCAAAAAATTGGGGTGATATAAATGTTTCATAACATTTTATAGGGAAACATGTTTTTTCTAAAAATTTAGGGTACTTTTTTTGTTATATAGTAAAAAATAAAAACCGCAGTGGTGATTATATACCACCAAAAGAAAGCTCTATCTGTCCCCAAAAAATTGTATGAAATTCCTGTCAGTACAGCATTGCATGACTGAATAAACGTCAATCAAAGTACCGCAGCGCTGAATACTAAAAAATGGCCTGGCCAGGAAGGGGGTGAAACACCGCGGTCTTCAAGTGGTTAAAATACAAGTTACGGGGATGTCTCTTTTGAAATTATATTGACCCTTTAACTTTGAACTCTGTACAGTGCCCCTTGGTACTTACTATTCAGCACGCAAAGGTGGTTTCTTGACTTTACCAAATTAACCCGCTTGTTTTCTATAGACGTTGCATACACCATGTGTATAACAATTATGATCAGAAGAACATCAGTTATGTTTTCTTTTATTGGGTAGTACCCTAATCAACTAGTCTTCTTCTGATTATTGATCCTTTGAGCTTGTTACATTAAATTAAATGGGGTTT